GATGATCCATCTAATGTGTTGGTGTAACATATGGCTGGCAACTTGTAAATGCAACATTGCAACCCAATGAGAGGGCATCAGGTGGTGTTCTGTGTCTTTGTGGTGTTGCTGGGTAAAGAGTTCAACTTTTTAGGAGATTGGGGATTATGGGATATGGAGATCTGTGGGAGGCAAATTGCTTATTCCCATACTTAAAACTTCAGATTTTGGTCCATTTTTCAAGGGCTTCTGTGGAAACAGTTTGCCTCCCAAGGACAGTCTATTCTATTCCCAGGTTTATTTTTTAAAAAGGAAAATAATGCCATTAAAATTCAACTATTTTGAGTTATAGAAGAAACATTAATTACAACAGAACAGCCTTTTATTTTTAAGTAAATGTGCTATTGTATTGGTTTTACATCTTCTAAAGTAATTTTCTTTCCAAAGAAAACTAGTGATGTAGTCACTTTCTCTCAGCCCTAGGAAGGAGGCAATGGCAAACCACTTATGGAACAACCTTGCCAAGAAAACTTCAGGGACTTGTCTAGGCAGTCACAAAGAATCACATATGATTGAACAGAAAAAAATACTTTTTCACTGTCATTGACATATTCCAAAATTGAACATTAAGAATTTTGAATTTTTACTTGTCTTCTAATTAAATTGGCCTTGACTTTTTTTTTAAGGCAAAAACGAGCCAGTGAAGATACACCTTCTGACTTACCAGCAAAAAAGTCCCAAGCTGGCCCCAAAAGAGATGCTCGGCAGATTTATAATCCACCCAGTGGGAAATATAGTAGTAACCTGGGTAATTTTTCATATGGTGAGTATTACAATCTTACTACTATTACAGTTCTGTCTAATTTGAGAACAATCAGCCTTTTTTCCTTTGTATCCTTTTCAGGATTATGTATGTGTCTTCGTAGCTCTTGAAGGCATTCTAATATTTCATTTTAAATGTTAAAAGTCTAAGACAAGATAATACTACCTATGTATCTGTATGATGTAATTTAGGAAATTACTGGTATAGATAGTCCTCAACTTACAACCTGTTGCTTAGTGACTGTTGCCGTTACATTGGACCTCTCCAGGGCTATTTATGATCTTATGAAATTATTTTGATTAGACTAAAAATATATTATAGAGAAAGTATAAACAATATGATTACCACAGAGTAAGAACTTATCTTATCCCATATATGTAATTGCTATAAAAGAAAATCAGAAGGAATTTATTTGTAATCCTTTTTTCTCTTTTCTTTGGTTTCTGCACTTTTGTCTTTGCTCTTCTTTTTTCCTCTTTCTATTTTGCTTATCTGGTATCCTTGGTCTGGTTAACTGTCAGCATTGCACTTCCTATTAAACAACTACATTTAAAATACTTAACCCAAACCCCATATTTATTGGGGGGGGGGTAATTATTCAGAAAGCCTTTTCTAAAATACTACTGTTACTTTAATTTCATATAATGGTATAAGCACAGTTACGATCATTAGCTGATCCCAAGATAAGGGAAATTATACTATTTCAGATTTCAGGATCAACATTAGTAGTGAGTAGAATGATCTAGAAACAGTCTAGTCTGAAGCAGAACAGACTAGCTGTTTTTTAGATTGGAGCTAAACTGTTGAATTCAATAACCATTAATTCTGAGTAGAAGCAGCCCAGTTTACTAACTATTACAAGTAAAGTTTTTTACAACATATTAAAAGTCAAATATATATATTTTAAAAAAACCTTCATCAAGGATAGGTTAATTTTATCACATTTCTCTTAGGAATGGCTTTACAGGTAGTCCTCAATTTACAACTACAATTGAGCCCAAAATTTCTGTTGCTAAGCGAGATAGTTGTTAAGTGAGTCTTGCTCCCCTTTTACGACCTTTCTTGCCATAGTTATTAAATCAATCACTGCAGTTAAGTTAGTTACAGGGTTGTTAAGTGAATCTGGCTTCCCCATTGATGTTGCTTGTCAGAAGGTTGCAAAAGGTGATAACCTGACCCTGAGACACTGTAACTATTGTACATAGGAGCCAGTTGCCAAGCATCCAAATTTTGATGATGAGATTATGGGGATGCTGCAACTGTCATGTGAACAACTATCATGAGTCACTTTTTTCACTGCCATTGTAATTTCAAACACTAAACTAATCATTGTAAGTTGAGGACTACCTGTACTCAGAGCTGTTGTGATTCTTACTAACTTTATTAGACACTGCTGTGTTCCCCTTACACAAATTGTCATGTAACCATAATTGGGGCCTTGAAATGTGCCACGAAACAATACAGTTGTAAAGCAAAAAAAATAACGTGGCCATGCCAACTTATAATTACAGCTCCAGTTACCGTTTTTAAGCAAATTGCACATGTGACCACAATTTTCAACTTCCCACTGACTTCCCCATTGACTTAGTGGAAGCTGACAGTGAAGGTTGCAGGGACATCTCAACTTTGAGGACTACTTGTATATGGCTATGTAAATGAATGTAGCAGTGAGCTGTACATAGTGCTATTTGTTTTGGATTAAATTGGATATTATTTGAGTTGTTCTCCGAGAAAGAGGGGTGGTTTCTAAGTATGGTATATAAATGAAAAAATTAGTAACTGCTATTCTATGTCAAACAGTTTAAATGCACTGCGACATAACTTTTTATTTTCTTTCATTGCAGAGCAAAGAGGTGGTTTCCGTGGTGGACGAGGAAGAGGATGGGGTGGACGTGGTAATCGCAGTCGTGGAAGAATCTACTGAAAGCATTTCCAAAGCCATTACTGTATGGCTAAAGCATCTTTAAAGTTTGAAGGATTGTCTGTAGGGGGCTACGTTGTCTAAAAGACTTGCCTTCTGCAAAAGACTGGTTTAAATGTTCTTACACCTTTGTATGTATGATCTACTTTTCTAATGGACAATAGACTCTCAGTGAAACAACAACTGTATTTTTGGATGTTTAACAGCTGGTATTTTGAGTTTGTGTTTGTTTTTAAAGCATCTTCAAGATTTATTCAGGAAAAAGCATGGGTGTTGAAGCTGAAGCTGCTTCCGTACAGATGTTACATTCATCTATAAATGTGGCTTATAATACAAAGGGGACTCTGTATAATAATAAAATACTAGATAATGGATGGAAATGTTCTAATTAAAATGAATAGGAACTTTTCTTCAAACTGAATCATATTTCCACATCGGAAAGAATTATATTGCAAAAGAGAATACTATAAACCGCCAAAGGCATGGTTCATTGACTGAATTCTTTGATTTTTAAAAAAGGCAACAAGGTAACGTGCTGTTATCTTAAACCAATCCAATCATTTCTGGAGAAACATGTTAATATTAACATTATCTTGCTCTTCTCCATATATGGTTATACAACGTATGTGTTACAAATTGATTTTTAAAAGTTCTGTATAAATGTGTCCATGCAGACACAAAAAAGATCCAGTGAAAAATAAAATGCTACAAATTCAGTCCAGGGAAGATGAATCCTGTAGCAAATATTAAGGTGGCTAATTAGTAACCTCTCCCGTTAAATTAATATGTTTTTTGGCCTTGAGCAGCTGTTTCTTTTCAAGACAGTTAAATGTGTTTTAAAATAAGTAAAATTACAACATCTTATTTGTATTTTGGTTTTTTTTAAAAAAAAAAACACCTTACAATTACCTTGGTAAGTCTTCCAAAATAAAAAGCTCCTTATGGTAGACATCTTCAAACCTTTATTTAAAACATTGTACTGTATCAGATGCAATTGCTTCAGTGTTTGACATTTAACCTTTGAGACTTTTTCCCAGTTTTGTTTTTGGACTGAACATTGTAAGATGCAGATGATGGTATAAATGTCAGAAAGGAGCAAAAACATTGAAATCAATCCAACTAAAGCTGGTTTTAAAGAACTGCAAATTCCTTCTTATCTTGGACCCAAGCCCTTTTTACCATTTTGGAAGTCATTAACAGAGTCAAATATTTGTACATAGACATTTCTGACAACTTGTAATGTGTATTAGCTAAAATTAGTTTATAAAATGGACAGAGATGCATTTCTTGGTAACTACAGATTTCTTTGTTCTGATGACTCATTCATCCTTTTCTGATATAGAGGTGTTGAGCAAAATGATTCAAGTTAAGGGTCTGCTCTACAGACTCATGTTACATGTACTCATGTTATAAAGAAAGTGATTTTAAAATTTCCAAGTTGGATTGAAAAAAGGATTCTAATTTGGAGGGGTAATTTGTGTCTCCCATTAAGCTATTATACTGAAAACTGACCAGTTCAAACTACAAATAGTGGATTAGATTTTGAAACATTTTCTGTTCATTATATTGCTTATTTGGACTGTCAATTTTTAGAAACCTAGCTTTTACGGAAGTTTAACTACTTTTACTACATATAGTTTTGGGAGGGGGCTCTGTTGAGTAATAGGTTGACAATATAGTTCTCGGAAATAATGTGCAAATTGTCAATTAGAAATAGCTCATTTTGTGTTAAAAATGCAGTGAATTATTTTGGAGACATCTTTTAACCACTTTTTATTTGTAAAATTTCCTTTATTCTTTTGCAATAAATCCATTTTGTAATTTTGTTAGTGATTTGTGGCTGTTTATTTTTTAATGAAATTGATAAAATGTGCAGAACAAATTATGAAGGCCTTGATCTCTGCATTTTCAGAATAGTATAAATGTTAGCAGTGTTTAGGTTTCTTATGGATATGTGACCATGTAAAAATACAATTTATTCAGAAACAAGCATACCTGGGTGTTTCTGCTTTTGTTATTGAATTCTTGACATTTCGCAGCTCCGTTCTGAATAAAGCCACGGAAAACGGCACCTTTAACATTTACCGTAATTCTTGGAATATTCGTGAGTCACCAACTGACAACCAAAAGCAACTAATTATTTTCTTCACACAATCTACCACTTAACAAGCTAGTTAATTTCGTGTGTCACGGATGGACCAATATCGCCTCAGCTGGACTTTGTATTTGTATATAGTCGACGGCTAATGTATAATTTAGACATCGGAAACAAAAGGACACATTGAAAAGTATTTATTTAAATCTGGTCAAAACCTGGCCCGCAATAAGCGGTCAGGGAGACGAAGCTGTAAGTACAAAGGAATTAGAATAGAGCTGGAAGGGACCTTGGAGGTCGTCTAGTCCAGCCCCCTCCTCAAGCAACAGACCCTATGCCACTTCAGACAAGTGACTATCCAGTCTCCTCTTAACCTCAGTGATGGAGCGCCCACGATTTCCACTGGTTAATTGTCCTCAATGTTAGGAAGTTTCTCCTCAATTCCAGGTTGCTTCTCTCTCTCTGATTAGTTTCCAACCATTGTTTCTTGTCTTGCTCTCCGGTGCTTTGGAGAATAATTTGACCTTCTTTGTGGCAGCCTGGCAAATCCTGGGATACTGCTATCATGTCACCCCCTAATTCTTTTCTTTAGATTGGCCAGACCCAAAATCTGCAGCCGTTCTTCATATGGTTTCGTCTCCAGGAAAAAAAGAACATTCCTCCACATACACACACAAAAATTGAAAAGAGGAACTGGGCAGTTTTCCAGTTTCCAAAACAATCCTTCGGCGCTTTTTTTTTTTTTTTTCCCCAAGCAGCTGCCCTATAATCACTCGCAGCAGTCCGAAACGAGGCCAACACCCTTGGCCGAGCCAACAGTGACTTCGCGTTTTCAAGCGCTGCAGGGCAGGTGCAACGCCGGAGTAACTTCCCCTTCGCTCCGCCAACAAAAGGGGCGTGGAACTTCGTTCGGCTGACGGCGCCACAGAGCTCCTGATTGGCTGCTGCCTCCGAGCTGCACGAGGAACCGCAGGACGGGCGACGAAAACAAGCAACAGGCCGCGCCTTCTCCCTTGGAGGCAACGCCCACATTCCTTTTGCCACATTCCTCCTCCCGCCTCCGGCACTCCTATAGAGATACTAAAAAAAAAAATAATCGAAGAGTCGCCTTCCTACCGCCATTCTAGAAATTATACAGCACTCGCGCCGTATTTTTTCATCCCCGCATCAAACAGCAGGTACCCTTACCCGCAGAACATATCCACTCCCCCAATTTCGCCTCGTACGAACCCTTCCTTTAAAAAAAAAACTGAAAAAAAAACTTCTCCTTATGATGTAGACACAGAGCGATAGAGACAGACGCACTTCTCCAAAATGGCGACTTGAGCGCTTCCGGTTCCGGGTAAGGCGGGCTAAGGCTAAGGTTGTGGAAGATGGCGGTGTCAGCAGGAGCGTCCGGATGGAGTGGCCGAAGGCTGGCGTGCGCCTCCCTGCGCTCGTTCTTCGGCCTCTTTTTGCTGCAGGGCTTGGCGCCTCGTCCAGGCGCCGCCACCACGCACTGGGTAGTCACCGAAGACGGCAAGATCCAACAGCAGGTGAGAGAGAGAGAGAGAGAGGGGAGTTTTCAGGTCGACGCGAAGAAGGTCCCTGAAATGAAAACATTTCTCCCTTCCTTCTCGGGCAGGTGGGAAGAGCTAGCCGGGTCAGCTTCCCCTCGAGAGTTGCCGGGTAGGCTTGCTTGCCCCTTGAGAAGGACGGCTGAACCTGAGGAGAGAGTTCCGAGCCGAGGAAGTTTTTTCTCTTTGCGATTCGAAATACCCTGGAGCAGGGGTCTCCAACCTTGGCAACTTTAAGCCTGGCGGACTTCAACTCCCAGAAGTCCCCAGCTAGCGAAGTTGGCTGGGGAATTCTGGGAGTTGAAGTCCGCCAGGCTTAAAGTTGCCAAGGTTGGTGACCCCCTGCCCTGGAGGGTATATTTTCTCTCACTGTGTATTTTATTTTATTATTATTATTAGTTCTCGAAAGAAATAACTTGCCTAGCTCTCTTCTGTGAACAGTTTGGCTGGATCCACCAAACCGGCAGGCGTCCGCCAATTTCCCCACACGGGCCAGTGTGAATTCACAAAGGAGGAAGGATGAAATCAACGCGCATCTCCTCCCCTCCGTGTGGTTGTCCGAGAATAGGTTGCCCCGTACGCGCCGTGAAGGTTTTGTTTGGCCATCGAGCTACGGGGTAACTCTTAATTAAAGAGGGAGTGAAAATACAGAGCTGCCCCCCCCTTTTTTTTTTTTCCTTTTCCTTTTTTTCTTTTTTGGTCAATGCCAAAAGCTAGAATATTAAGTTTTCCGTATTAGGAAACTCTGGACCCTTAATAATTTGCTGCTTTTATATGTGTAGCGTTGCCTGCTCCTTAATGATTTGATTTGTTTCAATTGTTTTCCCGTTATTCCATCTTGAGGTAATGCTTTCAAAAGGAAGAAATGGCTTAAAAGCTTAAGTATTTTTCCTCATATGTACTTGGTTACCCACAACTGCCATTTTATTGCTCTTTCAAGTCACCTAAGAACATCTTTGCAGAGTTTTTCGGTCTTTCTTTGATGAATTAGACTGGCTAATTGCAACTGCAAACCTTTAGTAATTGCAAGCTAAAGTTGAAAGGGGGGGACCCCATCTAGCAATACAAAATTGCAGTTGCATTTCTGGGAATTTTACTGCTTGCTTCTTCTTATGCATTTTTTAAATTGTTTATTATTTTGCTTAACAGTTTTATTATTTGAAAGCCTTAACCAAAACACTGTTTCTACATGAAAAGACAACTCTGATAGGGGAGGGTAAATTAAACATTACTATATTCTTAGCTGTTCTCCATTTTAATGACAAATTATCCAGGAGAAAAGCTACACTCTTCACATAAAGTTTACATCTCTCATTTTCCTGCCTATATATGGCAATGAGAAACTGTTGGTGGAGAATAAAGTTTCAAATGCTGCTTTCTGTTCTCATTGCAATGAACCAGATGCCTATGTAATCTAATATAAGCATGACATCTCTTTGCAAAAGCCATTCTAATTCATTTTTTTAAAATCTTCTAGGTTCAGAAATAATTTCTATCTGATACATTAATTAGACTGAGCACTGTATTCTCTCAGATTTCCTTTGATAGTTTCATTCAGATGATTCAGTGGGCAGCATTGTCAGCTTTATCTTTTCCCCTTTCATTCCATTTGCTATTTAGTGCCGGTAAAATTCAGTAAAAGATGGAGATACTTAACAGAGTTTCAAGAGTACAAAGTCCCATTTTGTCATGCAGGGACAGAACAATACTCTGGTGTTTACTGTTACGAATGCACCAAACCAGATTGCTTTGTCATTTTTAAAATAAATTCAGTCAATAATAGTGCAGATAATAACCATCAAATGGCATTTGATCCTTAACAAGGACTGATCTATAACATATATTCTTTATCCCCTAAGGTCCTTGTATCTTTTTATCATACTGCACATGTACTATACGGCTTTTTAAAAGAAATTGAGAAATGTATTTAGAATAGTCTTGTAATGGGTCAATCCTATGACCAATAGCTATGAAAATTTGTGAAATTACTTAATATAGGAAGCCTTGAAGAGAATTCTATATTTTATTTTTCTCCCATGTTTCTATTCTCTCTCCACCATCTGGTTTTTGTTTTGTTTTTTTGCCTTAGCTCAGATTCAATAATACAAAAGAACCAACAAAAATTATTCCAGTTCCTATATTAGGAGGTATAAATTAGCACAGCTTATAGTCTAATTCATATTTCATATTAGGTAGCTCACACCTTAAGAAAAAATTACATTTTAAAAAATGTTGCCTTAATCAGTTTCTGCTGGAGAGAATACAAGGGACACAGTATTTTAGTCCAGATCATTGAATATGGTTTTAGATTTTTCTTTTTACAGTGATACCCACTGATAATTCATTATAGAGATAACTGCCTCTTCTGAAATTTTTAAAATTGTATTTCATTAAGCAATTACTAGATGATAAACAGTATAAATGCTGATACATATGGATAACTCTATTTATTGATGCAGATAACTAGATATATAATATAACAAGTAATGCCATTACAAATTTTTCTCCATTCTTCACATGTTGAGTGTTTGCCAGCAGAAGGGACCATTATTGTCTAATGAAGGAGTGCTCATATCTACATTTTGCATTGTGGTATTTATGGGCATTAATGGGTTTGAGGGCATTTTGGGGGTTTATCACCTGTTCCTTATTCAGATGAATTTAATTTTAACTAAAATTTATAATTGTGCTGCAAAGGATTCCTCTGTATAACCTTATTTATTTCCAGCAATACCCCTATAGGCATTAGAAGGCAATAACATTGATGGGTGGTAGCATTTCATTGTTTTGTTTGTAAAGTGTTCATATTCGATGTTGAACTCAACTCCTAGTGACTATACGTATATTTTCTTTACAATGATATAATGCTATTAATCTCTTGAAGAATATTGGAGATATGAAGGGAATGTTTCATGCAAAGATAGGCATGATAAAGGACCAAAATGGCAGGGACCTAACAGAGATTAAGAAGAGATTAAGAACAGGTGGCAAAATTACACAGAAGAACTATACAAGAACAAGTTTAATGTCCCTGATAACCATGATGGGGTGGTCACTGACCTCAAGCCAGACATCCTAGAATGTGAAGTCAAATGGGCCTTAGGAAATCTGAGTAACAACAAAGCTAGTGGAGGTGACAGTATTCCAGCTGAGCTATTCAAAATCTTGAAAGACAATGCAGTAAAAGTGCTACATTCAATTTGCCAGCAAATTTGGAAAATTCAAACAGTGGCCACAGGATTAGAAAAGGTCAGTTTACATTCCAATTCCAAAGAAGGGTAATGCCAAAGAATGTTGAAACTACCACACCATTGCACTAATTTCACATGCTAGCAAAGTTATGCTCAAGATCCTACAAGCTAGGCTGCAGAATGTGGACTGAGAACTACCAGAAGTACAGGCAGGATTTCAAAGAGACAGAGGAACTAGAGCTCAAATTGCCAACATACGCTGGACCATGGAGAAAGCTAGGGAGTTCCAGAAAAACATCTACTTCTGCTTAATTGACTATGCTAAAGCCTTTGATTGTGTGGATCACAACAAATTATGGCAAGTTCTTAACGAGATGGGAGTACCAGACCATCTTATTTGTCTCTTGAGAAACCTATATGAGAGTCAACAAGCAACAGTGAGAACTGGACACAGAACCACTGATTGGTTCAAAATTGAGAAAGGAGTTTGGCAAGGCTGTATACTGTCGCCTTGCCTATTTAATTTATATGCAGAGCACATCATGAGAAAGGCGGGGCTAGATGAATCACAAATTGGAATTAAGATTGCCGGGAGAAATATCAACAACCTCAGATATGCAGATTATACCACTCTAATGGCTGAAAGTGAAGAGGAAGAGCCTCTTGATGTGGGTGAGGGAGGAGAGTGCAAAAGTTGCCTTGAAACTCAACATTAAGAAAACTAAAATGATGGCATCCGGCCCTCTCAATTCTTGGAAAATAGTTGGGGAAGAAATGGAGGTAGTGACAGATTTTATTTTCCTGGGCTCCAAGATCACCGCACATGGGGACTACAGCCAAGAAATTAAAAGACACTTGTTCCTGGGGAGGAAAGCTATGGCAAATCTAGACAGCATACTAAAAAGCAGAGACATCACCCTGCCAACAAAAGTGCGTATAGTTAAGGCTATGGTTTTCCCAGTTGCAATGTATAGCTGTGAATGTTGGACCATAAGGAAGGCTGAATGCCAAAGAATTGAGGCCTTTGAACTATGGTGCTGGAGAAGATGCCTGCGAGTTCCTTGGACTACAAGGTGATCAAACCGGTCAGTCCTAGAGGAGATCAACCCTGACTGCTCTTTAGAAGGCCAAATCCTGAAGATGAAACTCAAATACTTTGGCCACCTAATGAGAAGAAAGGACTCACTAGAGAAGAACCTAATGCTCGGAACAATTGAGGTCAAAAGAAGAAGGGGATGGTAGAGAATGAGGTGGCTGGATGGAGTCACTGAAGCAGTTGGCGTGAGCTTAAATGGACTGCAGAGGATGGTAGAGGACAGGAAGGCCTGGAGGAATGTTGTCCATGGGATCGCGATGGGTCAGACACAACTTCGCAACTAACAACAACAAATGCTATTATATTTTTATAGGATTTAATTTTTTTTTATTCTTGATATCGATCTAATATTTTCTTATGATCTTCCATCAAAGTCAGACAAGTTCATAGGGAACAATTTTGCCCATTGTTGCATT